AACTGGCTGTCAGACATGTGCAAGGTAAGTACCACAGGGACATTCTGTTCCTGTGAGTTTCCTTAGTTTACACCTATAAACACATTCCCATAAATTGTCTGTTTTCTCTATTTTAAACATTTTTTCTCATGGTATTTTTAGTGATTATAAAGGGACTGAAGGTCACCATTTCAGTTTGCTACCAACTTAAATGTGTAGCTTTGCACCTCGAGGAAAAGCATGAGGTTAAATTTATAAGGTTTCTCTCTTTAGTGAAGTGAATGACAACAGTATTTGCCTCAAGAAGTGTATGTCTTGGTAAAACCAACACAAACCCTGGAGCATGATATTGCTTAGAATCTAGGGTGATTCCAGAAGTGACTGCAGGCTCATAACTGCTGCATCCTGTTTGTCCAGACAAGAGACAGATTTCTAGATGTGGAAAGTCTATCACAAAGTTTTGGGCTGCTATGTGGGTGTGGAGGCTGAGGAACTGTTTGTGCTGAGCACTACCAGATGCAATAAAGCTGTAGAAATGTACATCCAGAATGGGACATCAAGGGGAGCATTTCAAACAAAGCTTTCAATCTAGGACTTGCTGTGAACACTGAATGTAGCAAATCACTCTGCTCTATTGATTTTTGTGCTGATTCTACAACTTATTTCTTAACTGTGTCTCCATACAAAGTGCAATTCCACCTCGTGATTTCCTCAGGTCCTCTAAACATGCTTTTTTACTGCAGCTGCAGCTAATGAAAGCTACTAGTCATACAGCACAGAGCAAAACTCCAGTTGATGGCACTGAGGATAAGGTTTTTCCACCAACTATTAACACAACTTCTTAAAATTACATTTTCCTATTTTACTTATGAAAACTCTAGCACAAACAATGTAAAACTAAAACAATTTATTGCATCCCCATTGCCTGTTTTTCTTTGATACTAGGTCAATAGAAAAGAAATTAAACTTATCTGGCCCTTTCTCTTGAAAAATATCTATGTTGATTATCAGTTTATGAACACTGTGGAGTGATTTGTTAGTTAATAATTTGTTTAAAGTATCAGAAGTAGATTGATTTTTTATAATTTTCTTAAAATTCTTCTTAAAAGAGAGGTTATTTTCCCAGAACTTCACAATCAATGAGACAGCTCAAAACTTGCTTCAGCTCAAAACTTGCTTCACCTCATCCCTTGAATCCATTTGATCATTTTTCACAAGGATGTAGAGGCATGAGATAAATCCTAAAGTTTTATTCTCCATTGTGGTGCCTTATGTTTTATTACAATACTCCAGTTCATTTATATTTAAAAAAAAATTGGTCTCAATGAATCTTTTTAATAAAGAGTGGAGCAAATGGGATCATGGATGCATCAACCCTCTTACATGTGTATTGGTTACACATGTAACCATCTTACACATCTATCACTATAGATATTGGTTTCTCTTCTCTAAAAAACATTGCTCTGGGTATTTGAAATTCTCATAGCCATGACTACAACATATCACCCTATTTCAGCATTGTGACCCTATTTCAGTATTCTGTGAGCACACATACTCCTGTGAGCAGGTGTGACCACACATGCATGCCACAGGATTTTTCTTAATATTTTCTCAGAAATGTTCACACAACAATGATGAGTTCAGTGATAAGGAGCAACAGGAATCTATTTCATATAGTATTTATCATGGGCTTTACTTTTGTCTTACAAAACAGAGGATGCTCACTGTGGAAGATGTGAACTGCATCTGTGTAGACTGGAAAAGAGGTGCAAGGTGTCAGTACACTCAGGCATCCAACAATGTCCGTGTTGTAGGTGCTGAGATTGCCTATTTTGTAGATGTTCTTATGGTAAGTTTTCTGTTTATAAAGCTGTAGTTATAATGCTGATTTGAAAGAAATACATCTCTGGACCTTTCATGATTGTGGATGTAATCAGAAGAATACATTTTCTTTCTGGACCTTTCATGATTGTGGATGTAACCAGCAGAATACATTTTCTCCTGCTCTGTGATCACTTCAGATGTTGTTCTGACAACAGATCTTTTTACAAAGATTAGAGAACTGTGTGATAACAGAAGATCTGGTGAATTTGGGATAGGAAGATCTACAAGGAATTCCCATAATAGAGTCAAACAATTATTCTGTAGGTGCTAACAGATGCAAAGTGTTATGAAGTATTAAATATGCAGAGATAACAGCCATGGCAGACTACTTTTTCACAGAGACAGATCCTATCAAAGAACTCATAAGAATGCCAGAAAACCAGCTGGCAGCCAGGAGCAGCTGGAGGACAACTGCTCTCAGGGAGCAACACTGGCTGGAGACAAGCAGGACCCACCAGGTGCCCCATGGAAAGCCATGGTGGATAGTGCCCAAGGCTACAGGAGATGCCACAAGTCCCCTTTTTAGCCACCTTCACATGGATTGCTTTCAACACACATTTCCCATGAAGGAACTATAAATTACAGAACCAGAGAGTATGCTGGGTCTATGATCTGACCCACGTCTCATTCTCTCCTTCTGCAACCAGCCAGGTATAACTAAAGAGTTCCTGCCTGGCTGACAGACAAGAATTCTGTGAATCTGAACGGGCCTAGGATACGGAACAGATGGAGAGTCTCTAAGGACTTTGTTGACAGAGCTGTCTAGAGTTATAATAACCTGAGAACGAGGGCAGCACCTGAATAAGAAGTTTCAGAAAATCAATCTATTGGACATAAGGATTTAAACTGGCAAACATATGCTGAAATTCTATAGGAGTTCCTGAGTTTGTAGCCAAGTTAAAAGTAGTTTATCAAGCCCTTTTTAGTCTTTCCTGTTACTGATGAAAAGAGATGCAGCAATTTTTCTTTATTGCTGTTTTCTCAGGAAGAATATGGATACTCTCCAGCTGATGTTCATGTAATTGGCCACAGCCTTGGAGCACATGCTGCTGGTGAGGCTGGCAAGAGGAGGCCAGGGATTGGAAGAATAACTGGTGAGTCAGTGACTTCAGCCACAGCTCACAGAAAAGCCACTGTCATAGTTTAAACCCAGCCAGCAACCAAGCTCTATGCAGCTGCTCACTCACTCCCCCATCAGCAGAGCTGAGGAGAGAATCAGGAGAGTAAAAGCTAGAACACTCATTGGATAAGATAAAAACAGTCTGATAGGGAAAGCAAAAGCCATTCATGCAAGAAGAGCAGAACAAAACAAGGAATTCATTCACTACTTCCCATGGTCAGGCAGGTGTTCAGCCACCTCCAGGAGAACAGGGCCTTAAGACAAGCAACTCTTGAAGACAAACACCACCAGTCCTCATTTCCCCCTCTTCCTCCTTCTTCCTCACACTTTATATACTGAGCATGATATCGTATGGTGTGGAATCTCCCTTTGGGCCTGAGCATGATATCATATGGTGTGGAATCTCCCTTTGGGTATTTTGGGTCACCTCTCAGTCTCCCATGCACTCCCAACTTCCTTGGCAGCGTGGCAGTACGAAAAGTGGAAAAGGCTCTGTGCAATCACTGCTCAGCAATAACTAAAACATTTCTGTATTATCAACCCTGTGTTCAACACAAATCCGAAATGTAGCCCCATACTAGCCACTGTGAAGAAAATTAGCTCCACCCCATCCAAAACCAGCACAGCCACCAAACAAATCATTGCTGTTCGTTTTCGCTCACAATTGGTTTGACTGAGGCTGCAACATAGTCAAGGGTAATTTGAATATTATAAAATCAGCCTCTTCTCACAATACACCAAAGAGAAGTGCCCTGCTAAGTGTGGGAAAACAGCAAGATGATTATTTTGCTTGCATATATGTTACACAGCAAAGGAAATTTTTTAACATGTTCAGCATTTCCAGAGGTTAAAGCTATGGTTTTGATCTGCTTCTTCATCACACAGATAGTGCCAAGGGCATTGTGTGTTAATTGGAGTGACCTTTCATGCATAAAAGACAATTCTGGATATTATTAACACAACTCTTTTCAATTGTTACTTTTCCACAAGGATTTTGAGCTTCGTGAACCTTGGACCAATAGTCCACAAAATTCAGTTTAAAAGCAAACCCAAATGTGCTGCCCAGGGACAAGAATAGGTGCAAGCATAAGGTAGACAAACTGCAATCTGCAAGATTTTATAAGCTCCTGAAATTGCTGCAGTAATTTGGCAAGTAAATTAATTCCATTTACTGATAAGATCAAAAGCAAAGCTCATCACTTCAAAACTAGACATTTTTTCCCAAAACACTCTTGGAACCAGAAGTAGGCAGGCAGATTTCAACACCTCGAAGCACATGTGGTGCTGTCAGCAGAAATTCCTCTGAGAACTCCCAAGCAAGGTACACTAGAAATCACACACATAGATCAGGTATATGATGCACATAACAACCTCAGCTGGAGCAACATTATCAAAGGGAAGTTCAGTTAAAAAGAAAAAAAAATTCAAGTGTTGGGATTCAATACTGAATAATATAATGTGAGAGCCAGTAAAATTTAATAGGCTTAACACAGGGAATCCTTTTGACTCCCTGGAAGAAAAGCCACTTCCAGAGAGGGCACACATCAGCATGTTATTAATGTCTGTATTACTAGGGAACTATAGCAACTACAGATATGACATTCATTGTAGATAATCAATCAGGGTTAAGGAAAATGATTTTACATCTACATCTCTTTATCTATACATAACACTAGTATTTTTCTTTCAGGACTGGACCCTGCTCAACCTTATTTTCAAGGCACTCCAATTGAAGTCAGACTGGATAAATCCGATGCAGATTTTGTTGACATTATCCACACAGACTCAGCTCCCACAATCCCCAACTTAGGTGAGTATTCAGCTCTACTGTATTAACCCTGAATTATTTATGCCTTGCAGCACTGTAGTGTTTGAATTGTTCATCAAGAATCTGTTGTGCTGCATCACAGGCACAGAACAAATACACCACACTGGTCACCCCTCATATCCTAAAACAGCATGCACAGACAAACTTGAAGCCAGTAGAGACAGGTATGAGACAGTATTAGTTTAAACCATGCTTATCTGTGTTTTAAATGCTTCAGGTTTTGGCATGAGCCCAGCTATAGGACACATTGACTTCTATCCAAATGGAGGGAAGCAAATGCCAGGCTGTGGGAAGAACCCTGTTTCACAGATCGTAGATCTCGATGGCATTTGGGAAGGTAAGTTTGTGGATTATATTAAAATTCAGGAGAGCTCACCCCTCACAGTGCAACCACTTAACTTTCCTTGATTCATGTGTTTTGCATTAACTTTTGGTGTGTCCATCAATGGCAGCTGCAGGGTGAAGTGAAACTGTTAATGTGCTCAAAACAGCATTTGGCAGAGCTTATGTAAAAATAAACAAGACAGAGGGTTTGCCTTGGAAAACATGCCTGGTCTAAAGTAGATAATAGCACAAACAAAATTGACCGGAACTGTGTCAAAGATTTTGAAGAGTCTGTGGCACAACATCACACTTCATGTCTAGCTGCCCAGTAGCAGCACTGGTGGAGTAGGACAAGGATGCTCACAGCTACTCCTGTTAGGGTATCCTCAGCTGAAATTCTTCTGTGATAGAACACTTGATAGTATTCTTTCTTAAATTACTAAATACAATCTGAGTTGCATTGAAGTGATGTCACTGTATCTATTTATAGGCAGCTAAAAAGAGATTGGCACATAGCTGCTCAAAGACACTGCTCTTTGTTGCTTTGTGTGGTTCCAATAAAACCTCTAAGTATTTGAATATTTCTATGTGTCTTCATAGAATTAAATTACATCTAACATATTAAAAAAACCAAAACAAAAACCCCCAAAGATTTCTGATGTGGGGATTTTTCAGTATATTATCTGAGCTCTTTCATACACTACTGCAAAAACCATAAGCACTAGGAATCTATGAAGTGATTTGTGATAACTTGCCTTTTACTCCAGGTTTAATTCAATGCCTCTGGAAGCATTACTTTTTCTTTCTCCCTCTTCTATTTCATTTTTCATTTTTTTGGTAAACTTGTTATCAATAATGGGGAATTAAAGCACAAAGAATTGACTGTG